ACGACGCCTTCTTTACAGCAGCTGCTAAAACGAATCATTCAAGGCGTGGTTTGGCGTAGAGTTGTTAGTAGGCGTTTTGACTACGGTTTGCCACTCACAAGTAAGTAATTAATGACGCACTATATAATGGTACATGCTATATAGTCATTGTTAACACTAGGTGAATTACAAATTTGCAATATTTGATCTTACTTAGTTTAGTATTATCAGTTCCGATTCCATTAGAAACCTCATTTATATATCAAATGTCAACCGGTACAGAAGGCAGGTATTCCATATTGGTCTCTAGAAAACTGTTATGTCAAAATGGCTGTCAAACCAAACAAAAATAAATTATACTATGCCATTACAAACTATCCCAGTATCACTGTAATTTTCAAAAACTTTGGCATTGGAAAAGTAATCCGAAAAACTCATTTTTGTGTTTTAGAATAGAGTGCAGAGGACAATAATATATGGGCCAGTTTAAGATAATTTATTTATTTATTTATTTATTTATTCCAACGGTTTCTCCATTAATACAATTTTGTCAAACTATGAACTATACATAAGTAGTAAATAATAAGTTAATAACAGTGGTTACAAAAATCGTGCAATAATAATAAATAAAGCTGGCAATAAATACATGAGTGAGACCTAAAAACTACAATAAATAACAACAAGAAGACTATGCCTAGTAATAATGGTAACAAGTAACAAGCAGTAATGACGGTGACTTTACAACAGGCAATAACAACAACGATTAAATAACGATAAACGATTAAACGATAATGGAGGTTGAAGGATATGAAAGAACAGATTAATGTATAAACTCCAAGATATAGGGGCTTTCCAAACGTAAATACCCCCGCCGCAGCAAACCTGCAGACTAAGCGAATTTCCATTTGCTTCATTGGATTTACACCAAAATATCTCCTTAAATATATCACATTTATTCCCTATTTAAATAGAATTAGTTTAACGAGTACTTAGGTTTGCTGCAACAGGGAGGGTAAACAAGTTTTTTTTAATGTAAAATGTTAAAAGGTACTGTAGTTTAGTAAGAAATTAATGTATTTTCCAAATTTGATCAAAATATGTTCATAAATAAGCAAACTACAACAGTTGACTTATTCTCCATAAGAATAACATAGGAATTTTAAAATTACAATTTTTTGAATTTTCTCCGTGACCCTTAGGCGCATAATAACGCTTCAATATACTAAATTATTTGTTTCTTTAAGCTCTAATGGTTTGGAAAGTAATTGTGAAATTTTGTGTTTTTAGGGTCAAAAATGGGAAAACCCTATTTTTACCCTATAAAACCGCCCTTACCCCCCGTTCCCATAGTCCGATCATGCTGGTTCGCGAACTCATTCAAGTTTATCCTGCTTTACTCCTTTAAACCAAATTTCATCAAAATCGGACAAAAATTACTCAAGTTATCGCGTTCACGGACACACACACACACACATATATATACATATATAAAAATTTTAACGAATGGTGTTTTTGGCCTCTGGGGACATCAAAATGAAAAAGTAAATCGGTCCCAGGTCCAGGTCTTGCCATGCCACCTACGGTAATAGCTTACTTCCCTATTCGCTAAAAGGACAAATATGGACAGTCTATGCGTGAAGGAGTGATGATAAACTTTAAATACCCCCGCCGCAGCAAACCTGCCGACTAAGCGAATTTCCATTTGTCCGAATTGATTTTCAGTTAAATATTTTATAACATTAGGTTTAACGAGTACCTAGGTTTGCTGCTACAAGGAAACTAATAAAGTGTGTTTTTGAGTAAAATATTTATTGATAGCTTAGTACAAAATAAATAAATTTGCCAAGTTTGATCAAAATATATCCATAAACAAGCAAACTACAACATTTGACAATATTCTCCATAAGAATAACATAGGAATTTTAAATTTACAATTTTTTTAATTTTCTCCGTTACTAATAATCGAACAAAAATACTTTTATATACTAAATTATTTGTTTTTTAAGCTCTTTAAAAAGGTCTAAAGAGAAATCGGGAAATTTTGTGTTTTGAGGGTCAAAAGTGAGAAAAACCAATTTTTACCCCATAAAACCCCCCGTAAAGCCCCGTTCCCATGGTCCGATCGTGCTAGTTCGCGAACTCATTCAAGTTTATCCCGCTTTACACCTTTAAACCAAATTTCATCAAAATCGGACAAAAATTACTCAAGTTATCGCGTTCACGGACGTATATATATATATATATATATATATATATACATATATAAAAATTTGAACGAATGGTGTTTTTGGCCTCTGGGGACATCAAAATGAAAAAGTAAATCGGTCCCGGGTCTAGGTCTTACCGTGCCACCTACGGTAATAGCTACTTCCCTATAGGGAAATTCGCTAAAAGTATATTCCAAGGAGTACCATAAGGTAGACTAATACTTGGATGTATAAATACCAAGCAATGGAAGAAGTCTCCTATACAAGAGAAGAAGTGGGTGATAGAAGAGAATGGAGATGTGTTGTTTGGTTAGGGAGGCCAAAAACCTCTTATGATTTCAATCATTTCAGTAGCCACGTGGAAACTACTTATTACCAGTGTGGAAATTAGCGGCCAATTTTACTGCAAGCCTTTCCTCACGGACACAGATAAGATGCTGTTTTACTATAAACTCATTGGATTTATGCATGCAGTATATGGTTGGATGAAAAGATAGGTGGCTACGCAGCATTTGTTTACAAGGTGTTCACATTAAAACTCTGATAATTTGCCTTTATGCAGGCTATGTTTATGTCTGCAGCTCTTGAAAAAATTGACTTAAATGTAAACCTGGGGCCTATTCCTCCATAGGACTCTGCAACTCTTCACTCTGCACTTTGCACTTTGCACTTTTCCGCAGAGTGTAGAGTCCAGCTGTTCCTCCAATAATTGTTGCTACTCTTCAAATCACTGCTGTTGTTTGCAGAGTTGCAGAGTAAACCTAACCTCAAAGTTAAAGTTGCAATATAGAACAAACTTACACTTAAAACTTACTTATAAGTTACAATAAAAGTAATTATGAGTTGCAAGCGGAAAGAAACGTTATCCAAAAAGTTAGCTGTGCTAGAAGTAATTCGAAATGAAAAAAAATTATTGTTTGGAGCTTTTTCTGCTCATGTTTCGCACAAAATGAAGGAAGATGGCTGGCAAAAAGTGTTGGAGGTGGCAAAAGCTAATGGGCTAGTCTCTGATAACCGAGACTGGACATTTGTGCGGGACAAGTTGTTCAGTGTATGGAAAAGTCGAACCTTGGTAAGTAAAATATAAATATTTTACCTCATGTTAGGGTTGCCATATCCCCGGATTTCCCCGGAGATTACCGGATTTTGACGTTCAAAATTTAGCTCCGGGGGATTTCTGCAAAAAGTGGGAAATCTCCTCTTTTTTACTCTCTATTAAAATACATTATAAAACAACACTTTTGGAATAAAATAAATGTTTGCTTTTGCTAATATCGTTATGCAATAACTGAGAAATGCAACTCTCATACTCTCTACTAACTTGATGTTTTTTTTATTCCTTGGTTTCACTTTGGCCAATACCAGAACGTCTTTAGTCTATCTTTCTATTCCATTGCTCCCAGTCTGAAGGTATCGGTATTCACTACCAAAGCTTAGCAGACAGAGAGCGTTTTGTTGCCTATTATTCGTTATGTGACTAGTGAAATGTGACTAGTGATGCAACATTTTATATTTTCGTGTACCGTTTGAATATTGACATTGTGTAGCACAAATATTGAACAGAAACAGTAGGTCTATAAACTAATAAATATAAACAAATTACAGTACGTCACTGAACCCAAATGTCTATAGGCGAATAGCGGTAACAACTGGATGTTTTTTGGCAGTTCCATTTAAATAATAACAAAAACATGTTTACTTTCGGGCCAGTGATATCATTTTATTTATGTTTAAGCTTCAAATGACCCATAGTTTCTGTCATAATATCTTTGCTACTAGGTACGCTAACCTATTCAATTTTGCTAGCCCGCTAAATCTTATCCACTATTATAGTGGGGGCCGCCAGCTAAAATCTCCTCTTTTTTGTACATTACCATATGGCAACCCTACCTCATGTTAAATTTTTATTATAGGTTTATTTTATTTATTTATATTATTATATTTTTATAAGGCCAATTCTTATTATAGCCTACTTCTAATTTTAACTGTTGTTAATTTATATATATTTTAAATATATATTTTTTGCTGCAGAACCAGCCTATTAGGGGTGACTTGCATAGGTAATTTTAATACAAGATTATTAATTTTATTTTAGGCAAAGAAAGACAATGCACGCACCACTGGTTCAGGAGGCGGTAAAGATAAAATATTGGATGAGGTTGACAATATCATATTGGATATTATAGAACCAGACTCTCCTGCCGTACAAGGGATTGGAGGTCCGGAAAGCCAGTTTGACAGACAGGATGACGCAAACGTTTCTTCGGAAGACGAAGAATTTACATTTGCTAATGTATTACGTACTAGTACGCCTAAAGAAGAATTGAGATTGAGTAATGAGATGCCTTCCTGCAGTAATGAGGTTCCTGCTGCTAAAAGAAGGAAGTCAAACACCAGCGCTTCAATTAATAGGCCTACTAGTGCTGCTAATTTAAAAGAAGAAAAAGACAGCTTGAAGGTGCAACTGCTCAAGTCACAGCTGTACCTCAACAAATTAAATGCTCTAAAGCTCGAACGAGAACTAGGTTTGAAGCCCTCAGAGTATACCGCAGAACTTCCACAACAGGGAGCTGCGCAAGGTATTTTGCAATTCCAACTTAGTGACTCAACTGATGAAGTTCAAATAGTGGGCGAGTGTGGCATTCTCAACGACCAAGACTGTGTTGTTATGCTTAAAGATTAGAACAACAATTTGTATGAACAGTAACAAATTTATAATTCACACATTCATATGTAACTTTCATTTATTTGTAATAATTAAACAGTTTCATCTAACAATGTTGCTAATTATTTCCTTCATATCTTAATATAAATTTACTCAAAGAATTGTAGCAGTCTCTGAAGCCTTGCTTGAGCTGCATCACCAGCAGCAATTGGATCTGGGAGATCATTAGCTGGTTCTACATGATTATCTTCATAGATATCTTCTTCCATTACAATAAAATCGTTTTCATCTCTACCTACCAAACAAGCAACATTATGCAGTACACAGCAAACTAACACAATTTCTGCTGCATGTCTGGGGGATACACGTAAGTGGTTAAGGCAAGGAAATCTTTCTTTCATAATACCAAAAGTATTTTCAACCATTCTCCTTGTAGCCTTATGGGCACGATTGAATTTTCTTTCCCTCAAATTTTCAATATTTCCATTAAGTGGAGCCATAAGCCATTCCTTCATGCCATATGCACTGTCTCCTAAAATGACTGCATCAGGGAACGGTCTCCAACCATTTTCAAAACTCCTGTAAACAGCCGAGTTCCGAAACACTCGAGAATCATGTACACTTCCAGGCCAGTTTGGGTTTACAGCAAAAACTTCGTACTTAGGCCCGGAAATCATCATTACATTTAAAGAGTGTTTGCCGTGTCTGTTAACGTACTGCTCCTCGTGTGCTGAAGGAGCATCAATGTTTATCATCGTCCCATCCACACAGCCACAAACAGAAGGAAAACCTCCTTTTCTAAAAAACTTAACTGCTATGTCGTTTGTGTCTTCTGGCCAACACACAGTATTTTGAAACATTCTTCGGACTATAGCCTTGGTTACTTGCTTAATAGTTCTGCAAACACTGGACTTTGAAACACCATGCATAGCTGCAGTTGCGTGGTACTGTGATCCTTTTCCCAGCCAACTCAGGCACAGAAGTAGTTTCTGTTCAGCATTCAACCTCTTACTGCGGTTAGTTGACGGTATAAGTAGATCACCAATTTTTAACAAAACAAACTCTGCTTGTGTTCGATTTAACCTAAAAGCTTCTTTGAATTGAAAGTCACCAACAACATTAAAGTTAGACCGTTCTTTGTAAACTCTTCTATTACCTTCGTCTTCACTTGAATCATCACTAGAATTTATAAGCTCTTGAATTATATCCATTACATCAGTCACTAATCACAGATTAATAATTTATTCAAGCATAAATACTATATGAATAAAAATATTTGAGCCAAAGTCTTTTGAAGAGTGGATTTTTTCTTTTCATAACATTTGTAGACTCTTCAATATTTTTAACTCTTCATTATTTTCAAGGTATATTGGTGGAACAAAACAAGACTGATTTGTTTAAAAACTCTGCATTTCCCACTCTGCACTTCACTCTGCCTCTGCAAAAAATAAAAATTATGGTGGAACAGGAATTCGTGTGAAGAGTGCAAAGTGCAGAGTGAAGAGTTGCAGAGTCCTATGGAGGAATAGGCCCCAGCTGTTCTGAGTGATATATAAACTCTTCCATCGAGGTTACTAAAGGACTAAATTCCTGAAGTCGGGCTGGGAAAATTTCGTCTGTGCTGAGGTTGACTTCTTCCACGATAGTCTTCTTTGCTTCAAAAAGAAAGTTAAATCAACTTTAGCAAATCACTGAATTTTGTCACTGTTATATACCTCTGTAGTTTATAGTTTGCCGTTGTTAAGTCACACTGTTATCTATGTGTGTTTATTCGCTGTTATGTTACCAGATATTCATAGTTTATACCTTGTTAATATCATAAGTTGTCAGTCTTTGTTATTCTTATTTAATTAGTATCTGCCCTTGTTAACTCTTCATTGTTAATTTTTGTAACTTCTATGTCGAGTCTTTTGTCTCCACAACTGAATTTTGTCATTTATTATTAACTTACTTTTGTCTAACCTTGTAAATCTAGACTGTTAGTTATACTTTCCACCACCTTGTATACAACACATTGTATTATTGGCATTGCCATTGATAAATAAATAAGTACAGTATTATTTTAACATACTACTTGATCCATGTGCAGATGACGCACCCACCGCTAGTTTCCAACTAATACTAACCGTTTGAAAATTTCACCAAACCCAGCAAACTATGCATGATTTTTAGATAATATTATTACCGATTTCATTTACAGGTATTAAATTGCCACAGATAATTAGCAGACTAGGACTTGTTATTATACTCAGTGGAATTTCAAATGGTTTAAGTGAGCGCGGTAAGATGGTGGGAGTACCGTAGATGGATAGTGGCGCAGTCTACCAGCAGAAACAAGTACTCAACAGCTGATTCAACAATACTTACTTAGTCAGCTGAGCGCACGGATACGTCACAACAGCGTAAGTGTTACATTGACATTGATATTACATGCATATTTGCGGTGAATACGGTTAATACCTTTCTACAGTAATATTAACTAAATAACAGTATTAATAAATTAATATTAAATTCTTCATATTAAATAATACTCATCAAGTCTTCATAGTCTTTTATAGTAAGGCTCGTACCTTAAATTTTCTACTCGTGTCGTTAACCCTATTTACGCGAGTTGCATACACTACTTTACCTACGACATTGTTTTAATTATTAAAAATCACTACTTATAACTTCTAAAAGAGGTCATGTTTTCGTTTGTAACCTCTCTTCGTTTTGTTTTGTAACCTCTCATTGCCAGTGACAGTGATGCAACGAAACATTGTATCAAACACTAATTGCACCAATCAACAATTAAATTGGCCTGAGCAGCTGATTAGTTGAATTTCGAATCATTACAATTTTATTTCTCCTCTCTCAATCCTTGAACCTCATTGGTCCGTTACCCTTGTTGTTATGAGTAAAACTATGCTGTTATGAAAGTAAACAATGCTGTTATGAGATACTTTTCAATTCTAATAACTGTACTGAAACGGCTACTTTAATAAACGGTCGTAGGTAAAATATTATATTTACACCGAAATAGATTTTAAATATTTTCAAGCTTTATTAATGTCTTGTTGATTTATTAATATTGAATTTGGTTGAAGGAATGTGCAATAAATACGATTAAACTGCATACCATATTAAGGGTTTACATATTGTGCATCAAGTTTGTGTCTCTATAAAATTAAAGACCCCTTATATCTTAAGCGAATTTAACCTGTATGAGAATGCACATTTATATTCAAATAACTCCATCTGGCCTAATATTAGCATCGCTGTTACTATTTTATGCTTCTTATCAAACTTCAACCATGACTTGGTTACATAAATAATAGTCAAGAAACGGCAAGTTTAAAATTAAACAATACTAAACGTAAATGTCATCTTTTCTCATGGTTATATTATTCCAAAAATCCGATTTAAAACAATAACTAGTGAGAATGGGTCCTATCATTGCTTACTTAACAAGCAAAGATTAGGTTTTATCGTTCCTGCCTCGTTTACAGTAAAACACGTTTTGTCTTTTTCTTTCCCGAGTAATCCTCTCCATTACAAACATGAATATAATTGAGAACGTCGTTAAGAGTCCCTATACAATATAAATTCATAACTTTAATGTGTTGTACCTTACAACTATATATTTACAGCTAAATTTATAAATCGCAATTTTTAAAACACTTCTGAGTTCTATCTTTCACGATTGTTATATGCCTAATGTCATCAAAGCTGATTTCAAAACTCTACATAGTTCTCAGACATTTATGCCTACAACTCGTAAGTGGTTCCGTTATTATTTTATAAGTCTTACTAAAATTTTGCCAATTCCTCATAACTTTTGAACTGTGTCGGTGTCGTAGATTCTTAATAACAATCAAGCTGAAAAGACATTCAAATAGGCGTTAAATGACCATAAATGAATTGTAATTCTTCTTTGTTGAGGCAAACTTAGGACCTCGTGGTCCTTTATTACAGTTACTTAACCTCTAATACAAAGAAGCACACAAATAGGAGATTGGCACAATATCGGGTCCAACCTTAGCACTAAAAAATAGTTATTGTATTTAATTGACATCATATCAATAAGGAAAAATATTTACTAACGTTTGTTTATTTTCATAATCCTGAATCTATTTTCAGTACATGATGTATACTATGATTGTATGCGTAAAGAAAAAGGGCACGCATTTCCTATTTAATTTTAATTGGAAAATTCTGTAAAATTGAGAACGACGAATAAATTAAACAAGGCCTTTCTTGACCGTAGACATTAAATTTAACTTTTGTAAAATTACATATAAACACTATGAGAAAAGGAAAAACGGAAGAATCCAAGAAGACATGTTCCAAGTGGCATCGCTCTTATTTCAGGTGTTAACAAGAAACATCATTGAATAGTGGACTCGCTTTCACACTATAAGTCAAAGTCAATAGGTAACATTTATAAAGTATCATATCTGTAAAACGAGTTGTATTAGTTTTTATCTTGTTTACCCTATTATATAGGTATAATACTGAGGTACTGACTGGTTTGTTTACACCATTGCGCATATTTATGAGTAACCTTGAGGTTTCTCTCTTGACCTCTTGACAGCTTAGAGCGAAGTAGCAACTTTTGGTGTTGCGCCAATAGGCAAGTCTGTGAACCTGAATACCGGGACTGTTGGAGAACCATCATCCTTGGCTTTCTAAATAGCATAAGGTACAGGTACGAACCAAAACTTTATTGTGCTGTGATTCTGAAAAAAAATTGATAATAAATATAAATTAATTTATAATTTTTGCGAAAAAATCTGTTGGCGAACATTTGAGGTGAAATGTTATAGAGTTCATCGCAAAATGGCCAACAAGTATTTCTAAATTAGGTTGGAAGTTTTATGCCAGTATTTCAAGTTTATGAAAAGTCGAGAGTTGTGGACCATATTACCATAACATAAAATAACAAGTGCGATAACGCAATCTCAAACTAACCATTGACCAATGAAAAATCGTAGAGTATTTTTGCCTTAATAAATTAACTAGCTCGGGGGACACAATACGCTACTTTGTACCTTCCAAATAGGTTCCTTAACACCGTCCTAGTATGGTGGTAAAACATTATTCTTTGCTGTACCAAATAAATTTCATAAAAATACCAGTGGGTTACTTACATCAAAACCTTACAATACGTTTCCAAGCCATAAAATGCAAATGATAAAACGTGTGTAACCATTTTCATCTACTTTACCAACCACAAACATTACTTTTAGTCCACAACCAACCGTTAAATGTATAACTAAAGAGTAGTTCAACAATCTAAAATCTGATAGTCCAAAAGATTTTTTACTGCTACTTGTGAAGGAATAGTTCCTTCTAAGTAACAGCCCTTTTAATGTTTCTAAAATGCACATTTAAATGAGTTGTATGATATCTCCGCTCGGCCATTATTTGATACGCGCTTGATAGCCACATGTTTAATTTACTGCAGTTCATTTACGTAGCCACATGTAGTTAATTATTAACTCCTGCTTAAGAGGGTTCTACCATGGTTCTACGGGTTCTACCCGGTAAATTCAAGATGGTGGCCAAACTTGCTAATGTTTCAAAACATGTCCCTACGGAACAAACTCTCGACACTCTTAATTATTTGGAATCTAATTTGTTTCCAATGATTATTTGCTTTTTGTGCTCTTAACATATCAGAGCTTGCAATGGATGGGGATAAATTAATGTTTAACTGTTACTAAAAAGCTAAAATCACATGTGAAAAAGAAAAATTTACGGATTTTCAAAATGATTTTGTAAGTACTTAAAGAAACATTTAGGAAGTTTCAGATCACCCAGGGCGTAATTTGAATCTTTGTCAATATTTTAGAGTTAAGTTAAACTCGATAAACACTTTAATGCCACGAGGTTCTTTTTTGTAGGATCATGTTTACGTGGTAACCAGCCTGCGGGTTTTTCTAAAACCCTCTTAAGTGTAAATATAAGTTTATTTAATTCAGCAATACCATCATGTTTCGAATGCAGAACAGTCTGTGAGCAAAATGATTCTGTGATAATGTAAAACTGTTGGATTTTGCTTCAGTTTTGGGCTATAAAGTGTTATTGAAATAAAAGATAGGACTGTTAAAAATTTTTAACCAGCTGTAGGCCCGTTCTACGCATGGAGATCAAGCATACGGTTAACGGTTAAAAATGTATTTTATTCAGGATAGCAGGTTTAATATTTGTGGGTCCTTGCTACGCTATTGGCATTTCCTAATGTTTTAGCTAGGGAACGGTCTTGTTACTATCCAACGAGAACTGTCAACCTTTTAAAAGATAACACAATCAGATAAAATAAAAACAAAATTGATCGTATAATTGTAATAATAATGTATTGTTGAATATGCATAACTGAGTTAATATATTGTGTGATTGCTACACCATACACCCTTCGAAGAACGTAAAACAACTTGTGTTAATATAACGTATAACATAACGTTGTGTTGTATACTTCGATGAATACACCAGAGTAGTTGCTGTAATTAACAGTAATGTAACAGGTACAATAGAGTATTGTCCAATCCTGCAGCTGCTGTATTGTGTGTGATTTTCACTGTCTGCTGTGTCGACATTATACACCATACACCATTGTAGTAGCTGTAATTAACAGTAATGTAACATGTACAATAGTGTATCGTCTATTGTCCAACATTGCAGCTGCTGTATTGTGCATGATTTCCACTGACTGCTGTGTCGATATTATACACCATACATCAGTGTAGTAGCTGTAATTAACAGTAATGTAACAGGTACAATAGTGTATGGTCTATTGTCCAATACTGCAACTGCTGTATTGTGTGATTTACACTGTCTGCCGTATCGACATTATACACTATACACCAGAGAAGTAGCTGTAATTAACAGTAATGTAACAGGTACAATAGTGTATCGTCTATTGTTCAACACTGCAACTGCTGTATTGTGTGATTTACACTGTCTGCCGTATCGACATTATACACCATACACCAGTGTAGTAGCTGTAATTAACAGTAAAGTAATAGGTACAATAGTGTATCGTCTATTGTTCAACACTGCAGCTGCTGTATTGTGTGATTTTCACTGTCTGCTGTGTCGACATTATACACCATACACCAGTGTAGTAGCTGTAATTAACAGTAATGTAACAGGTACAATAGTGTATCGTCTATTGTCCAATACTGCAAATGCTGTATTGTGTGATTTTCACTGTCTGCTGTGTCGACATTATACACCATATACCAGTGTAGTAGCTGTAATTAACAGTAATGTAACAGGTGCAATAGTGTATCGTCTATTGTTCAACACTGCAGCTGCTGTATTGTGTGATTTTCACTGTCTGCTGTGTCGACATAATACACCATACACCAGTGTAGTAGCTGTAATTAACAGTAATGTAACAGGTATAATAGTGTATCGT